CACAGCAGGGGGAGTGGGAGAGGGAGAAGCAGGCCTCCCGCTGAGCAGGGAGCCCGATGCGGGGCTTGATCCCAGGACCCTGGGATCATGACCTGAGCCGAAGGCAGACATTCAATGACTGAGCCACCCGGGCGCCCCTAGAACATGGACCTTTGATGGGTGATCCTGACTGTCGCCTGGGGCCCTCCATGCAGCCGGGGCTGCGCACTGGAACCCCTTAGCTGGCCTGCGCCCCAGAGTCTGACCCATCACACATATCCCAGACTTCAGAGTCCACAAGAGTGACAGCAAGTCCCATTCCGGCCACAGAGGTTCAGCATCCATGTGCTGCGCTGAGACCCCGGATGACACACTCCATCGCGAACCCCCATCCAAAAAGAGGTGCTGGTGCCCAAGGCTGGAGGTGGGAGACGCGTACAGAGGGACTCAGGGCTGGGGTGGGAATAGGAGATCGGCTGACCCGGGGCAGGCCTCCAAGAGGCCCAAGCGTCCAGACCACTGGTCATTGCTCCAGCTCTGCAATGAGGAGGGGGAAGAAGGGCTGGACCACAAGGCCAGAAAAGGTCAAGGGGCAGAGAGGCCATGAGGGGCCCAGCAGCCTCCAGCAGGCTGCGGGACGCTTGGCCAGAAAGGCCTGTTTACTCAGAGGCCCACGAGGTCAAGGCCCAGGCCCAGGGTTAATTATTAACGGCCTCGTGGCTGCCCAGCGTGGTGTGGCCAGAGCCCGGAGTCCCGGTACCGCCCCCCCACCGCCCCCTCCCCCCCGCCGCCGCCACCGCCCCAGAGCGCTCCCCTGGCCTGGATTTCCCAAAGCACTGACGCCCTGCAGCCCCCAGGGACTCTTGTACCCTCCTACCCAACTCAGGACAGGCCTGTGCCCGAATCCTGGGGTCCCCCTGAAGTGGGCAAAGTGGGGGCCCCCAAGGTTCCTGTTCACCTCCCACAGCCCAGCTCCTGGGTTACCACGTGCCGCGGGGTGTGCGGGGGCGGGGGCGCAGAGGAAACCTCTTTCAGAAGGAGATCAAAATGGACATGAGGGGTCAGGGAGAAGCCTGTTTTTCTGGCAGGGGACAGACTTGGCGGCAGTGCCCTTGGGGACAGGCACCTTAGGCCTGAGCTCATGGGGGCCCCGGACTGGAGGTTCTCTGCGGACCCCCGTGGGCACCCTGCTCAGGGACAGCTGAATTCCACGTCGTGGGCCTGGTTCCCACCACCTCCCAGGAGAGCAGGCCCAGCTCCCATGCCCTGGGGAGAGCTCCAGCCCTGTCCCGGGAGCTGGTGCTGACAGACGGGCTGTAGCTGCATTAGCAGGCTTGGGCTGCAAATCCCCACTTTGTCCTGCAGATTAGGCCCTCACCGCAGGCGGGCTGGCTGCCCACCTTCTCCAGCCTCCTGCGCCCCACCCCCTCAGCCTCCTGGGCCCCCGGGGCAGCCTCGCCCTCAGCCTGACCTGAGCCGGGGCCTCTGGGATGGGGGAAGGCTGGGGGTGTTGGGTTCAGTGGCTCCTCAAGGGGACGGGGCTGAGGGCCCGGTGCAGACTCCACCAGTCCACGTGGCCCAGGACTCTGCATTTCTCACGAGCGCCTGCTGGAGCCAAGGCTCTGGGTCCTCCTGGAAGAGCGCAGGCTTCAGATGTCCTCCGCAGGACAGAGCTCTCCTTGGACTTTTCACTCACTTTTAGACTGACACCATCAGCCTGGAAGATTTTCACATTATCTGTTGAGGCTTTGGGGGATAGGGCTGGTGGACGGGTAAAGGGCAGGAAGGACCAGATAACCTGGGCCAGTCCGGTGGAAGAGGGGCAGCCCGTGCCTGGGGAGGTTGGAGGACAGCCTTCGCTTAAGCCTCGCTCTCTGCGGGGAGTGTGGCCTCCCCTTCACAGCTATAAAGGGGGCTCCAGGCCCAGTCCCCCAGCCCCCAGCTGAGCTATGGCTCCAGCCGTTTGGGAAGGGCTTCAGGGCATGGCCTATGGGTTTGCTCATGGGGACAGCCTTTCTGTCTGGCCTCTGGAAGCCCAGCCTAGGCAGGCACGTGGCCTGGTGGCCTTGGACACCATGGGGCACTGCACAACCCAGGCCCTTCAGCGTCCACTTAGGACCCGACTGTTCCCTTTTCAAGGCACCACTTCTACCCAACCAGGAAATCCTGAAAGAAGGCTGCCCATCCCTCCCTGAGTCAACACTTGCTGCGAAGGAGGGGAAGGAGGGGCGGGGAGCAGGAAAACAGGCCACGGGACTCTGCTCCAGGAGTGCAGGCCACATGCGCACACACACTCACCGGCACAGATAATGCACACAGGTGTGCGCACATGCACACACATGGGCAGATGCACACACACATACTCACGGCCCCCCATGCCGCTCACGGTCACATGCGCGCACACGTTCAGGCACAGATGTGCACACACACGAGCACACACCTTGTCACCGTGCACACACACACGTACGCATTCAGAGTCACACACGACCACACGGACCCATGCACACCCAGGCCTTCGTGCCCCCAGGAACTACTCTGAAGCCCCCACCCGGGCTCGCAGACACAGACCCACCTGCACGCACACTGTCGGTGCCCTCCCTTGTAGGCACCAGCCAAGCCGCGCCCAGGAGCCTACTCCCGGCACCCCCAGAAGCCTGGGACCAGGAGTGGGTACTCAAAGCTCACACAAGGTTCTGTCTTCGGGGCCACATGCTGCCCAGGGTGGCCTGGGGCCCCTGGAAAACGGGGGCCGGGAGGAGGAGAGGAAGCCGCTGACTGTGGAGGGGTAAAGGGCTGGGGTTGGAGGTGTGGGGGGCCCTGCTGCAGGGGGCGGGTTGGGGGCACTGGACCCAAGGCAGATGCCCGTTTCCTACAGATCGGCAAGGCTAGACAGACCCTGTGGCCCGGGGCTGGGGCTGCACACCGTGGGCCCTCAATACGGAGTGGTTAGATAACAGAGCAAAGGCCTGGTGAGGGTGAGAAGCTCTCTGTCCCCCAGGCTGGCGGGGCCCAGGGAGGTCTCTGCCACCCTCCGCCCGCCTCGCCTTCTTGTAGCTGAGAGCTGGGCCCAGGTGAGCCAGACTGCCTGTGGTTCCAACCTCTGGGAGGCGGGCAGGCAGCCCAGGGACGTGCCCACACACGGCTCCCCCGCAGCCGCACGCCAAGCCAACGCCAGAGTCAGGCCAAGAGCAGCAGTCTCAGGGCCTGCCCACCGCCCACGGCCTGCCCAGCCTTCTGCGCCTGCTCCGGCAGGAGACCCGGCCCTTGCCTCCCCTGCGGGACCCAGACTCCCGTCCATCCGCTGCCCTCCCCAGAGCCTCCTGTAGGGTCCCGCATGGTCTGGACACCCTCCCCACCTCCACGCTCATCACTCTGCCCCTTTCTCGGGGCTGTCGCTCAATCGGCTTGCTCCTGTTCCGGGACTTGGCACCATGTGCCCTCTGGACCTCTGTGTGGCTGGGACCTACCGCTACCTCCCCAGGGAGGCTCTCCGGAAGCAGCCCCCAGTCACTGCCCAGGCACACTGCCCTCTGCTACGTAACCAGTTCCTCACGCTCTTCAAAATGGCCCTGCTCTTGGCCTCACGGGCATACCCATCATTCTGCTTCCCTGTTAGTTCCATGAGGCAGGAACCATGTCTGTGCCATCAACAGCCTGCACAGGGCCTGATGGGCAGGTCACTGGTGGTCCACCGATGTTTGTTGGGTGAAAGACTGACTGATCGGGAAGGCCACCTGTCAGAGGTGGGGGCAGGCCTCTACAAGGCACACTGGGGCCTCCTGGGGCCCATGGGTTCACTCGCATCATCCAGGCAGGCCCCACTGAGTGGGTTAGGGCTAGGGTTAGGACTCGGACTCACTCCCCTTTGCTCTTCATGAGATTAGGCTTGGCCCTGGCTTCTGTCAGCAGGGACAGAGAGGAGACCCTCGTCTCTAGTTCCTGGACTTACTGTGGTCCCATAATCTGGCAACTCCTACCTCTGCACCTTTGTCTAGAACATTCTGATGCCTGGAATGTGTCTTCTGGCTGCCCTGACAATCTTTCCATTGCCCTAAGGTACAGCCAGCCCCCCGCTCCAGCCTCGAAGCCCCCACACCACACACAACCCTGAGGCGGCACCCTGCTCTCCAGCCAGGCCACACCCTTAGCCGGGCAGTAATGAGTGCCTGTGAGTGGCTTCCAGGCAGTCCGTGGGTTTCTCTGGAGGTTCTCACCACCTTGGGCTGCTCGGGGGTTGATGAGGGCCTGGCCAGACGTCAGGAAGGTGGGGGTTGGGCAAGAGGTCAGTGAGACAGGTCAGAGGACAAGGAGTCAGTCAAGAGATGGGAAGGGGTAACTCCAAACCCAACAGCTAAAGGCTTAGTTAACTGGTGAGTTGGTTCGATAGCGGGTTATTTAGCCTCCTCCTTTGTTTGCTCCCTTCATGTGTTGAGCATACACTGCATTTGAAGTGGGGGGGTCCCAAGGAGGACTGACCAGGCCTGTCTCAGGCAAGGTGGGGAAAGCATCCTCAGTTCTCACCCCGGACCACAGGTCCCAGACCAAAACAGGCTTGCCACCTGGCTTTGCACAGCCGGGGGTGGGTAACGTTGATTTTTTTACATTGTTTTAATGGTGAGAACAAGTCAAAACAAGAATCACACTTCAGGATGCGTGAAAATGATGTGAAATTTGTCACACAGTCATGGCTGGTCATTTACAGACCGTCTGGATGCTTGTGCCCTGCGATGGCAGGTGACGGTCGCAACAGTGTCGGAGTGGCCGAGAGTGGGGTGAAGAGCCCTTCAGAAAACGGGGGTGAGGATTTGGGGGGGTTACAGCCTGTCACTGGGTGATGTGGCTGTCCCTTCCTCGCTCACTTGTCGTCCTTAACTCCCATAAGTAGGAACCGAGCACTTACTCTGTGCCAGGCGTGGGGCTGCCCTGATTCCCCAAGACCTGCTCTCAAGGGCCACACACCCAGGGTCATGGAGACCATTTGGGGGTGGGGGGAGCAGAGTCCAGGGAGCACAGAGGAGGGACAGGAAACCTGGCCTGGAGTGCATAGAAGCCTCCCTGGGAGGAGTGAAACCCCAGCGACATCTTAACATTTCAGCAGAAATTTGCTGGGAGGAAAGGAGCAGGGAAAAGCATTGTAGGTGGAGGGAACAGCTTTCACAAAGGTGAGAATGACGGGCCTAGACCCAGTGAGGATAGAGGGGAGCCAGGTAATGGGGGGCTTTGGGCAATCAGAGGTCACCCCTCGTCACCAGCCCCACCTCACCCCAGCCTGAGTTTGGCTCCAGGCTGGCAATGGTGCCTGCCAAGGGAAGGATGCCAGGATCTGGCACATGAGGTGGGGCACCGAGGGCAGAGGAGGGGACATCCTTAGGACCTCACTCTTGGCACCCTGCCCACCGCCACGGGCTACCACTGCAACGGGAGAAGGCAGCTGGTGGGTGAGGTGTGGGGGCTTGGCCCAGGAGGGTGGGGGCTGCCGGGACTGGGGCCACCTGGTCCTGCCCCCGGCCCAGGGAAGTCCAAGGACCAGGAAGGCTGCCATGGGGGGGGGGGGGGGGGGGGGGGGGTAGGAGTTGGCAACAAAGGCCTATTCTTCAGAGTTTAAAAAAGTCTTAAAACCCGTCCAACTTTCTTTTGTTAGATGCTCCAGGACGTTTCCCCTTTGGAGGCTGCTCGAGATACCTGGCTGATAAAGGGCTGATTTGTGGAGACTTAATTATGGCCCCAAGCCCTCGGTGTAAACAATCGGTGAGTGTTTATTCGACTGCCTCCCCTTAGTGCTAATGGGGAGCACAAACCAGGTGCTGAGTAGTGGGACTTGGTGACCCCGGATTCTTGGGTTCCCTAAGCTGTCTCCCCTGCAGGGGGAAGGCAGCCAGGCCCAGAGTTTGGTGTGCGCCTCTGTAGTTTGGCTGCCCAGTTTGGGGTCCTGGCACCAGAGACTCCTGACAACTTGCTGTCCACCTGTAAGGGACAAGGATGGTCATCTGGCATTAAAGGGGAAGTCTGCCACACAGCAAGTGCTCAGGAAATGCCGGACAACCGTGCTGGGGAGGTGGCACTGTCCCGACTTTGACCATGGCCACAGCCCCTGGGAGGAAGCACCTGGATCCTCGGGTCCATCCCAGGCCAGCTGGATGAGCAGTGAGGTGGTGTGAGTTGAGGTTCTCAGCAGCCCTGCCCACATCTGCCCCCACATCCCATCCCCAGACCACCCAGGGGTGTTCACGAGGTGCCCAGGCCTGCATGTGTCTGTCCTTTTTATAGGCCTTACGTCCCCCGGGGATCAAGGTGGGTCCCAGTTGGCAAGTTTGAGGACTGCCCTGTGTACCCTCCCTGGCACACCCTAGAGTATCCTGCCTCCCACGCCCTGGGCCCTGTGCAAGCCTGGGCCCCACACCCACCTGAGGCACCCCCTAAGGAGTCACCAGGGTCAGGTAAGCTCATTCCCTCACCCTGTGCCCCCAAGGATGGGCTCAGGGACTCGGCAAGACACAGCTTAGTTTCATTTAAAGGACAAACTTTGCTCAGGGCACTGGTCGGAAGGAGAGAGAGAGATGATGTCCTCTAGACATGCACAAAAGCATACTCACCCAGGGAGACCCACACACTCACAGACACGTGCATATTCCACAGGATCCCACGCACACTCCCCAGGGTATGCATGCACCCGCGCACTCCCCAGGCCAGGGCCCCACTGCAGCTCTGCTCCTGGTGGGGCCGTGGCTGCGTGAGCAGGTGCACCATGGACCAATGTGGTGCTGCCCATGAGCACCTGTGTCAAGTTCCAGTACATCGGGGAGGAAGCAGGAAGAAGGGGAGGAGAAGAGATCCTCCTGGTCCTCTGTCTGAGGCAGGAAGGGGATGCAGTGGCTGCTCAAGGTCAGTCCAGCAGGATCCAGCCCACCTTGGCCTTGAGCAGCACTCACACCAGAGGCTGCATCCAACGAGCTGGAGAAGTTTGTTCAGGGAGAACTCTGGGAAGGGCCAGCTCACACTTCAGTGGCCGCACCACATCCAGGGGTGCAGAGCCCCTCTTCCCCTCCCTGTCTAGCTCTCTCTTGGACTGGGGTGACCAGCCCCCCACTGGGCCTCCAACTGAGACCAGCAAGCCATTTTGAACCATGATGAGAAGAGGAAGTTCCTGTGGCCCCAAAACAGAAACAGGAAGCTGGGAGGGGGTATATGGATAGGGAACGGGAAGGGGGGACACAGGCACCCAGCAGATGTACCCTGAGGACCCCAGCCTTCCTGGGCCCGGCATGTGCAGCCGTGTCTGGGCATCTCTGCCCAACCCCTGCACAGTCATCCTCGTCTGTGCATAGCTGACATCCACCCAAAGGGAGGATTCACTGAGCCTTTCTCAGATGCTGGCTAATTGTCTACCTGCCTGTGTTCAATTGTCCGTGCCTATCTGGGTCTATTGAGAGGGCTCCATGCATCTGCTGGAATCTTCCTTTGTCCACCCAAGCATTTGTATCTAGCCATGCACCTCTCCCTGGCCCCTGAGTGTTGCCTGGAGGACTCCCTGCAGGGCCGGCCTGACCCTCCTCCACCCACCACGTCCGTGTGATCACCGGACCACTCCCCCGACCGAGCACGCGACTGTCTGTCTCCCTGGACGCGAGTCGGGTGACTCTTAGCCCCGGCTCTGTTTCCCCAGCTGCCCTGTCCCCAGCCCTACCCTCACTTGGTAACTGCACGCAGGACTGTCCCAGCCCCCTCAGCAGAGGCAGGAAGCTGGGGCTCTGTCCCATACACAGGCACCACGGCCTCGCGCTCCCTCCTGGAGCAAGAATGTCTCCTCTGTGCTGTGTGAGGTGGGAAATGGAGTGTCTGAGAAACATGCAGGGGCCCCAGCCCACCATAGTCCTGAACAGAGGGACGGCAGGGTGTAGAATCACACCAACCACCAGAAATGGGGAGTGTCCTGCCCACACAGGGCCCAGGCTCGGGTGGGTGGGGGTGTGGAAGGCAAGAAAGCAGGGCTCCCTCCGAGAGGACATGGCATGTGGTTCCTCCCAGGTCTGGAGGCTCCTGCAGGAAGACTCAGGGGGTGAGTGGGCGGGGGCCGGAGCCAAGGGGCCAGAGAGGCAGATGTCACCAATTTCAGTTCTGCCCCAGCTGGCCTGAGGGCGCTTGGGACTTCCCAGGGTGGAAGGACAAGCTGGGGGGCCAGGCTACTCGGAGGCAGGGCTGGGTTTGAGGACCCCTTCCCTGGCCCAGCTGGGTGCTATCCGCGGGGGAGGCATCGGAAGTTCTAGGGAACCCTGGTGGGCGGGGTGTGCCCCCCTCGGGTCCCTCCTCTCTCCCTGAACCCCCATAGTACTGCTGCTAGTCAGCTCCAGCCTAAGAGTATGGCAGCAGCAGAATTTCTTGGCCTTTTTGTCCCCACAAAGGAAAGCTTTAAGGGTACTGCTGCCCCAGGGGCATCTGAGAAACATTTCCAGAATGGGAGTGAGAGGGGCCAAGTGGATACCTCATCGGATGCCACAGCCTGAGGCAGAAACCACAAGAATCCCCCAACATGGCTCATCTTCGAGCTCCTTGAGCTCATCCCCCACAGAAGGAAAGTGGGGAGCAGGTGGGGCAGGTGGGTGAAGCCCCTTGCCTCTGCCTCGGCCCTCCCCTCTGGACCCGGCCAGGCAGGCGGTCAGCACCAGATCCAGCAGGGAACTGGGCCCCCGGGCGGGGAGCGCATCTGACTGGACCATGTTCTTGGGAGATCAGTTGTGAAACTTGCTTCAAACCCCCAAACCACAAAAACGGCCGATTTTCCCAGCCCTGTTCTCACGTTTCTCAGATCAGCCGAGGACTCTTCAGCATTTCCATCCAAGAGACGCCCGGCCAGCCGCCAGCCCCCTGTGGAGGGACAAGAAAATGGTGCAAGGAGACTTGAGCGCCATGGAAACCCCTCCCACGTTCACGGGAAGCACGCGGCGCTCACCGGGGTGTCTGTAAACGTGGGGTCCAGGGAAAAGGGCAAGGCGTGGGCCTGATCACAAAAGCTGGAAATCAGGACAGAGGGACCCTAGAAGCTGCTAGGGCTGCCTTGGAAGGAATATTCGAGAGCACCTTTCACAGGGGAAGATGGTACCTGGCTGGTGGAGGGTCAGAAGCCAGGGAACTGGGCAAACGCCCTTCAGTTTCAAAAAAGGTCACAGAGGCGTCCCCTCGTGTCTTCCCCCCAGCGCCTGGCAGACAGCGGGCGCACCAGGCCCGGGTTCTCCTCGTTCGGGGGCCAGTGAGAGCAGAAAAGCAGGCTCTTGCCAAGCGAGCACTGATCAGGGGACCCCCAAAGATGAACAGAACCCCAAAGAGGGACTCACCACTTTTCTCAGGTGGGTGGTGATGACAGTAAAAACCATCGTAGAAAAAGAGAAGCTGTTGGCAGGTGCTTGGGATGGCAAGCTGCCTCAAAGCTTCCGAGCCCCATTCCCGCTGCCAGAAAAGCAGGCCCCCTCGTCTGGCTTGCCCGGCCGGATACCCGTCCACCTGCCCCCGGATGAAGCCCGGTGAGGCCCCTCCGCGTGCCGCCTGTGGGCCCTGCCCTCTGCCCGCCTACCTCCTGTCCTCACCAGCCACTCTGCCTGAGGGCCTGTCCTCTCCAGAGCCTGCTGTCCTCACCCTCCCCAGGCCCCGCTCCTCGCCCTCCTCAGCCACCACGGCTGCCTGTGTCCAGCCGGAACCTCCCTGTGGCTGGGACAGAAACCCTGACTCACATTCATTTCGGCGCCGATTCCAGAAGCCAGAGGTTGCTGGGAAAGACAGCCAGCTTTATGGTGCCTGCCCGTCCGGCCTGTCCCCTGAGCTATCGCGTTTCTTTCAAATGTCATACAAGGGGTGTTGGACGCGGCGCCGCTGTGCCCGGCCTCGTGCGAGCTGCTGCTGCCCGTGGCGCCCGGTGTTGGGTCCGGAAGCCACTTCCCGCTGGAGAATCCTGCCCGGGAGCCTGGGCCCTGGGACTAGTTCTCCGAGGCCAAGGCCAGGGCAACCGAGGCCGGGAGGCCGGCACTGACAGCGGATCCTACCTGAGGGCCAGGGGTGGGTGCCCACCAGCTGGTGAGGTGCATGAGCCCCCAGGAGACAGCAGGTGTGCATGCACGTGTGTGTGTGCTCACGTCTTCCTGTCCGTGAGTCTGCCTGAGCGTCTATGTGGGAGTTTCTGTGCATGGTCTGCAGATGGGTTTGTGTGTTTCTATGTGCACACCTGGGTGTCCATGTCTCTGAGTGTGTCTAGCGTGGCCAGGTCTAGGCCAGATACTGGACAGGTGGGGGAGGCCATGGTCTCGGCCTCGTTGCCCACAGTCTGGAGGGAGGTGGCCGGGGAGCAAGGAGTCCCTCCCGGAAGAGTGTAGTCTCCGCAGGGACAGGAAAACCCAAGCCGTGAGGGCAGAGCACGAGGGGCCAGGGCCCCGGAGACAAGGGACCCGATGGGGGACCCTCGATGCTCTGAGGAGGTAACATGAAAGCTGGGTGAGCCGAGGGGTGTGTGTGTGTCAGCCAGGTGGGAGGCAGGAGAAAGTTTTCCAGGCAGAGGGAACAGCATGTGCAGAAGCTGGAGTGCTAAGGGGTAGTAGGGAGACCTCGGTCACAGGACAATGACAGCTGAGGGGCCGAGGGGCGGTGGCGGGAGCTAGACACACAGGCCTGGAGGCCACAGTGACAATGGTGCGCCGGTCCTGAGAACCTCCGGATGGCTTGGTTAAGAAAATGACCAGTCCCGTGGCTGTTTAACGGGGCCCCCCGGTCTGCTCAGAGAACAGGGCTGCAGGGCGCCCGGGATGAGGCCCGAGCAGAGCAGTCACCCAGTGAGGAGTGACAGCGACCAGGGCCCAGGGATGGGCTCGCAAAGGCAAGGCAAGGATGAGGTGCAAAGCTTGGTGACGGGTGAGGTATGTGAGCGAGCGTCCAAGAGGCTCCCCTGTGTGTGCCCGCCTGTGAGTGTGTGTGCACAACCGTGAGTGTGCACATGCCCACAGAGGGCTGAGGGCCAGGCCCTCTCCAGCCTCATGCCCGTGTCCCCACAGCCTTATAGCGAACATCACAGTGACGGTAAAAGGGTGACGGTAAAAGGGCCCGGTGTTGCAACTGCATTTCCTCTCGACCCCAGGGCCACCAGAGATTAGCTGAGAGCCCCGTGTGCACTGGGTGATAACACCCCCACTCCCCCGTTTCCTAATCTCTGATTCATTTCCAACTGATAACAGGATGAGGGCCCGTGGGCAGCTAAGAAATGCCCCAGCAGGGTCCTGCGAAGCGTGGAGTGGAGCCGCCTGCATGAGGGGGGGGCTGGGGGTGGTTCTGGACGACAGAGCCAGGAAGATCAGGGACAGGGTGAGCATGGGGGGAGATGGGGCAGGCAGACAGGAGAGCCGGAGAGACAGGGAGCCAGGGAGCCAGAAACGGACACAGAAGAGCCGGGGTCAGGGTAGGGTGATGAGGAAGAGAGATAAGGAGGGAGAGAAACACGGACGGCAACAGCCAGACGGACAGATGTATAAATAGAGAGAGAGGAGCTGAGGGTCCCGGCGCTGGAGGAACTCAGTGAACAGAAGGAAAAACAGAAGAGACAGTGTGAGAGACAGAGAAACTGGGAAGCGGTGACCCAAGGTCCAGAGAGAAGGGGAGAATAAAAGGAAGGGAGAAAGGTAGAACGAGAACGTGGGGGCCGGGGTGGGGGCAGAGCCGCGCTGCCCCGGCCCTCACTGAGCACAGCCCAGGCCTGAGCGCAGTGGGACGGAGCAGGGTGCTGGTCTTGCTGACTTGACCCTGCCAGGCACAAGCCCCAGCTGGGACCTGGGAGGCAGGAGCTCCATCCCCTACATCCCACCACAACCCCACCCTCACCTTCCAGGGAGCCCTGGCCCCCGAGACCCGCAGGAAGAGAGGAGGCGCATGCTGGGGCTGTAGGCTGCACAGCCGGAGAGCTGATGGAGCTGTGCTCCCATCCGCGGGGCTCAGCCAGGACAAAAGGGACAGAGCAGCCCCCATGCCCAGCATTTATTTGTATCCCGATGGGGTCTGGTGGGGCCAGAGTGAAGCAAGCAGGGGACTAGCAGCCCTCCTTGCTGAGCCCGGTGGGGAGCCAGTTGCCCCCCCTTTCCCCTCCCAGACCAGGCATTCCTCTGGGCTCAGCACCTGGGCTCACGCTCTGCGACGCTCAGAGGAAGGAAGGTGGCCTCCAGGGACTGTGGAGTCCTGGCCATGTCTCTCGAAACTCGGCCCCTGTGCTAGTCCCCTCCCTAACAAGGGACAGAAGGTACAGACAACTGCCCACTTGAGGGGCACGAGGACCACAGAGCAGGCTACTGGGCTCAGGCCTTCCTTCTGGGAAGGATGGGGTCCCCCAGAGCCACCAGACCGGGGACAGATGGCTTCCCAGAGCAGAAGGGACCGTGGGCCTCCCCTCAGCGTCTAGAGCCAGGCAGAAAAAATAGGTGCATGGACAGGACAGGCAGCGTCTAGAGATAATGAGAGGCAGGGAGCAAATCACCAAGTCCTGGTGGGCAGAAAGGAGCTCTGGGAGGCTCCCCAACAAGGGGTCCGCGGTCCCATGGTGTTTCAGGAAGTCCCTCCATCCCCAGGAACCCCAGCCCAGACAGGTGAAGGATAGTAGCAGACTGTGCCCCCGCCTGGGTCCTCCTCGCCTGCCCGGGGCCTACGGCCCAGGAAAGGCTCACCTCGCCTCCTCCCGGGGTAGGGCAGCCACCCCTCTGATTTGCCGTGCCCGCCCTGATGCCCCGACTGCAGCGACCACAGGAAGCGCTGCCCCAGCTCAGCACTTCCCTTTTCTGAAATCTGCCCCCAGCAGCCTGGTGGCCAGGGAAGGCAGACTTCCCGCTGCCCCCACCCCGGGGCTCTTCCCAGCAGTCACAAGTGGTTTGTTCCTGAGCTTCCCTGGGCAGAGGTGACCTTCTTGCCTCAACCACAGATCAGTTATTTATCAGAACAGGAAAGATGGCACCAGAGATATATCCTTACCCACCCCAGGAGGGCCTGGCCTGCTCCAACGACCGCACGCCTGCTCCCCACATCACACAGGGCCTGCTCCCCACATCACACGGGGAAGTATGGCCAGCGTGTGCAGGCTGCGTGGGGGAGGGAGCCAAGCGGGAGGCCTTGGGGGCAGGTAGGGCACAGTGTGTGATGGACCCCAGCTCCAGGCGCAGGGGAGGCCTGTGTGTGAGCTGGGAGCAGTCTGGGCCTCTGGTGCCCTTCAGGTCCCATAAGACCCACCCCCTCCACAGACGCACTCTCAGCCTGTGGCAGGCCCTAGGGCTCCTCTGTTCCCCCAACTGGGAATACCTTGGGACCCGGATCTCAGGCTGCTCCCCACCCCACCCCGCTTCATCCCGTAGCGAATATAGGGCTCAACCCCTGAGGATTCAGGATCCACTTGTGAGAGAGGGCGGAAGAAGCTTTCAAGTTTCTTCAACGGCAGCACTATTGACGTTCTAGCCTGGATAACTGATTCGGTGTGGTTAGGGTTGTTCCGGGCATTAGAGAATCTTTAGGCCCCTATTCACTGAATGGCAGGAACATTCCCCTGCCGCCGCCACCATCACGAGTCACAACAATCAAAATTGTCTTCGGACGTTGCCAAATATTCCCCAGGAGGACAAAGTTGTCCCACGTCAAGAACCACTGATCTAGGTACAATGGAAGGCCCAGGCTGCCCCGTGGCTAGAAAGTGTCAGGGCTCAACTGGCCTATCTTATAGTTTTGTGCTAGAAGGTCATGGGCTGAAGTGACGGTAACTGGTCAGAGTCTGGGGTTCTTGGAAGCTGGAGGGTGTGTCTGAGGAATCTGCTTCAGGGCTCCCTCTGGGGTTCTGGGCATAATTGTGCCACAGAGACAGGGGCTGGAAAGGGGAGCCCCTGGGACTGGAAAGGAGGTGGTGAAGCTGGGAGGTTTCACTGAAAGGGAGCTCAAGATGTACTACTGGGGGGTATGAGCTGAGTTGCCTCAGGGCCATGGAGGCGCTCATTTAGGGGATAGGACAGGAAGTCTGGCAGAGACTTCAGAATCAGGGCAGGAGACGAGGGTAGGACACGTGTCCTGGACTCCCTGAGGTGGTGAGCTGGAGGTGACCCCCTTCCATAAAGCCCAGAGCTGAAAAGACTGTCCCATGCAAAGGGGACTTGCAAAGCTGACCCAAGAAAGTGCAATGAAGCTTTCCATCCTCTGGGGCGGGAAAAAGTCGTCACTTTTGAGAAACCAAAACCCTAGCCAGAGCTAGGAATAAAGGTGGGATTCAAATTATGCAAACCAGGCCTTCTAGAAGCCCAAATCTAGAAAATAACATTAAAAATGATGTAGGACCATAAAGAAACTTACTTCCACTGACTTTGTATGGCACTTCCACAGCCCAGGAAAATGAC